GAGTATGAAAGAGAGAGGGAGCGACAGAGAGAAAGGGAGCGCAAAGTCTTGTCAACCGGAAATAAAACAAGCTGGCACCCTCCCCATCCCCAAGCCCCTGCACCCACCCCAAAGTCATACACTTCCTCTTCACTCCCTCTTTCTCTCCCCTCTGCCTCCCTGCCTCCATCTCTCCCTTCCACTGCAAAGGGTTATATTTAAACCCCTGGTTCTGCTCTGCTCTTCCTCTTTGACTTGACCATACATGCCGTCATACCTGCGTCATTACTTACACCTCACGTTAGACCTTGTGTCCAACAGTTTGTGTGTGATCCTCTAACCTGCATGCTCAAAGGTCCCTGACTGACAGGGTCTTAGTTCATTGTTCCATATAGCTTTGAGACTGTAGCCAAGAGTGTTACAGCTGGGGCACAATATACCTGTGAGTTCTCAGAAACGCTTCATTTGCACCTTCATGAGCTGTAAAACTGCTGCATGGATTGAGAAGTTCAGTAATGTCACATAAGACACTCGGCTCCAAGTAAAGTCAAATAATAAATGCAGCCAACAAAAACTAAGGTGTCAGGATTAGAATTGCAGCAGGCCATTGGACAGTCCGGTGGTCTTTTAATTCTGAGGCTGCAAGTTCAAACCCAGGATGCATCAGAAAGGGCAGCCAGTGTAATACTTTTACTAAATCTATCAGGTGAGTTCACCCTGCTGAAGTGACTCCTGCAGAAAGAAGAACATCAACATTAGAGATATAACTTTTTGATTGACTTTCAATCTTCTTGCTCACAACAGTGCCATGTTTCTCCCGTGAAAAATGTAATGATATACAAAGAAAACAAAGAATATTGCATCCTTAACTTGTCCCATCTGATCAAATTTTTGAAAAAAAAAACTGTTCAAATTCTTTGACTATATGTTCTGTGTAATCTTAAAGAACAGTTAATATTTTACCTGCATAAACTCATTTTAGAAAAGAAGTGTTTAGTTTAGAATAGAAAGGTGAGTTAATGGTTGGTTGGAGCAGAGCCAGTTTCACATAATACAACTGTTTACATAGAGTTTAAGTAGCAGCAGCAGCAGCTAGCGGTTTCATTTCAGGTGTTGTCAGGAGCACTTTCTGCAAGAATACCATGACATGCCAGAATAACTGTGTCATACAAGGTTGACAGCAATATAAAGGTTTACAAAATAAAACCTTGAACCCACAGACTCRGGATTACAAAACCACAGTTCTGATGTCCTTTAAGAACAATATCAAACATAACATTTACAGTATATAATAAAACAACATCCTGATAAATGAAAGGAAATTGACTTATTTTATTAGTGCTTGAAAACAATTAGCTTAGTAATCAGAAATGTTCTGAATTGTTTAGCAATAAGACTATTGTGTTCTGGATTACTGAGAAAATGACACAAATATAGCAGAAACCTGAGAAACCTGTTCAACAGGTTAATACCCTGTTTCTACTGAACGTGTAAGGACATTCTAGAAATCTCTTCATGAAACTGGAAATACTAATTACTTGTTCCCTGTGGGAACAATAACATCTGCAGTGTTTTTTTTAAATACGTCCATGAAATGTTTTCACATTCTTTTATCAGGGTGTAATAAATACTAGTAGCACCTAAATACATTCCTGATTAAAACCATGGAATTTGACACGTTTTCACAACAAAACACTTGAACAATGTTTGAAAATCTCTGCTATGAATTGTTGCTGGCTTGTGGTTCTGGCACTGATCCAGCTCTTGTGTTTTTATTATCTTTATTGCCCGTGTATACTGCTGTCATTACCTTTTGTCCCATATAAGATATTGTTTGCCGGGTAAATGTGTTTGTTCTTTCTTTACCTGTTATCTTTATGTAAATACAGGAGGCAATCCTTATGAGTCTGGTTCTGACTGTTCAGTCTGTCACCCAGCTTTTGAACCTGATTTTAAAATTGTGGCATTAAACCTTTACAGACTTATTGAATTGAATTGATCCGGTTTGAACTGAAATCACGAGCTGATTGAAGTTTGATGATTTTTTTTATTTTTGTTTTTTTCACAGAGTCCAGCTGCTTTCGAAGGCTTTCATTGTGATTTGGGTCAACACTGTTCTCTGGTCAGTTTGAAAACAGGCATCTTTTCCTCCTCAGCCTTTATTTTTTGATGCTGATTGTGCTTCAGGTTGTTATCCGACTGAAAGACCAAAGATTTTAGCCTCAAACCAAGTCTGCTGACTTTGGATAATAGCTCTGATAATCATGTGATTTTGTCTCTCCTCTCGTACCGTCAAACACTTCACTGTTTGCAGGGATTACTTTTGGGGTTTTGTGGATTTGGTTTATTACTGATGATCTCCTCAAACTTGGTGAAATCTGTTTCACTGTGCTGGAGTGTGTTGTCCAAAGATTATTAAAGCAAACATTGCAGATTATACATCAGCACTTGTATGTATTTTATCAACAATACTGGAAACATTCTATCATGTTGTTTTAAGTATAGAATTGTTTTTACATTTTCAGCTGCTGAAAGCAAGAACTCAAGATCTATGAAAAATCACATTTGCAAAATCCTTTGCAAACATGAAAAGTCAAATAAAAAGAAAAGAGATTTTTTAATTTGAATGTGCGAAATTCAGATTACATTCACAAAAAGTCCTGTTTTATTATTTCTGGGAAAAATATAGATTGCATTTGTGTTTCAGTGGGTTTTTTTTTTCAATGAAACAAAAAAAAATCATTATTCTACTTAATAATTATCTTGGATGGCTTTTCTTAAAGATCACTTTGCATAAACAAAATTTAATAATTTTGAAAAAGTGTATTAAATTTAACATTAAACTCTGATCTCAAACAAATACTCTTTAAACCAGGGGTGGGCAATCCTGGTCCACGAGGGCCGCAGCCCTAAAGGTTTTATGTTTTTCCCTGCTTCAACACACCTGATTCAGACATTGAATTACCTCGTCCAAGTTCTGCAGTATGGAGGACCGACACTGACACAACTAGAAAAAAAAAAGCAGAAATAAATAAATGGACCAATAAATAAATTCAATTAAAAATGTGGCAATTAAATGAAAAAGGAGAGCTTTATCTCATGCTTTATAATTAAATTGACCTTCATATTTATTTTTCCAACTTAGTTCCAACTAATAATATATTTTTGCACATAATTTACATTCTACTATTTTTTAATGTTTTTACTGTTTTTCAATATATAATTATAT